CTTCCTTCCTGGGGACACTGTCCGTACTGGCGTTCACAGGAGAGCCCCCAGGCCCTCCTCCCTCCAAGGCTGGCCGGTCTCAGCAGCCAACATGCTCGCCTGTTGCTTGGCCGCGGCAGCCTGTCCGAGTCAGGCACGCCAAGGGCAGCAGGAAGGGACAGCTGACAGCCTGCGCGTGGCAAGGGACCAAAGACCCAAACAAGGCCAGTGCCCCAGCCACAGGGCCCAACCGGCAGGCTACCGGAGTGATGCGCGCCTGTACACCGACTGCTCCACACAGACGCAGCTGAGCATGGCCACCAAGACAGGGGAACTCGCGAGGGGGCGCGCTGGCCTCCCGGGAGAGCGCGGAGCGCCCTGAGGGGGCCTCCGCTCGGCCCCGCCCCCGCCCCCGCGGCAGGCGAGGACGCTGCTGTCATCTTCCTATTTAACCATGACAGTTTCTTTTTCAGAACCTCGTACTTTTTACAAAACAAATAAAGCAGACAAGAAAAGCAGCAAAGGGTTTACTGCGTATCTGCGCCAGTGTTCGCACTCAGGGATTACAACACTGGCGTCAAAGGTAGACATTGAACAGACTATTCCCCTCTTAACCCTAGGCCTTGGCTGGCCCCGCAGGGCCTGCTTGCGAGCTCCTAAAAACCAGTCCTTTCTGAAAGCACCGGTCATCTTTGTGAAACTAACTGGGTTTGTCCCACGAAGTAAACTGCCTGGAGAGCACCAGAGACGTTTCCAGGGCACATTAAACATTGGTTGTAGACTTCATGATACCGAACGCAGCTACTTATATAAAGAAAATAGCACGTCACTCAGAAGCTGCCTGAGCTTAAAACGCCATGGCTCCTGCCCGCTTTCTGATTGACCGTAGTTCCCCAAACGACACGGTTCTATATCTGTGGAACAAGAGTCTGATGCTCATACCAACAGGTGCTACTTTACAAGCACCTCTGCACAGAGAAGATGCTCTGCTCTGGACGCTGGGTGACCACAGAGAAAGTGGGGCACTGTAGGTGATTTTAGACTCTCAGCCCAGGCCATGTGGAGGCACAGAGCACAGCTGGAATCTGGCAGTGCTGCTTCTCTCCAACTTGTTCCGGGAACATATCCTATTTGAGCAGCACGGTCCCACCCCACAGTGTTGACAGGCTCCCAACCGCACCTTGAGGACTACTTCCTGGCCTGTGGTTAGAGAATGAACTGGTCTCAGTCCTGACCAAATCTTGGCTTCCACTAAAAAAAAAAAAAAACAGCCAGTAGGGATTAAAAACGGCACCATGATACTGGCTTGTAAATCATCCTATACGCAGACTGAGATGTCAGAGGCGTGACGGAGAGCACGAAAGCACTCCTGTTAAAATTCTACCTACACATCATGTCAATTTTCAATAAGAGAAGTGACGTGCAGAAGGAAGCAAGGAGGCGAAGCTGAGAGGCGCGGGTGGCTGTTCTCGTCTTGATCTCTGAGGACTGGATCCTTCCGGTCAGCCCAGCAATGCACTGGAAACTCCTTCCTGAAATACTGCGTCTGGTGTGTTGTTCTCGGTGTATCTGGTCCACCGTGCTCCCAAAAACAAAGGCCCAGCCACCTCCTACTCAGAATAAAGGCAGACATTAGAGGAATGCAAATCAGAACTACAATGAGATACCATCTCACCCCAACAAGGCTAGCATTAATCCAAAACACACAAAATAATAAATGCTGGAGAGGTTGTGGAGAGACTGGAACACTTAATACACTGTTGGTGGGAATGTAAAATGGTACAACCACTTTGGAAATGGATTTGGTGCTTCCTTAAAAGGCTAGGAATAGAAGTAGCATACGATCCAGCAATAAGAGCTGTCACACGGATACACGCACACCCATGTTCACTGCAGCACTGTTCACAATAGCAAAAAGATGGAAACAACCTAGGTTCCCATCAAAGGACAAACAGATAAATTATGGTATATTCACACAATGGAATACTACGCAACGATAAAGAACGATGAATCCATGAAACGTAACATGGAGGAATATGGAAGGCATTATGCTGAGTGAATTTAGTCATTCACAAAAGGACAAATATTGTATAAGACCACTGTTATAAGAACTCAAGAAAAGGTTTAAACTCAGAAGAAAACATTCTTTGATGCTATGAGGGTAGGGAGGGACAGGGGTATTCGTTAACTAGATAGTAGACAAGAAACACTTCGAGGGACAGAGTAGCAAGGATAGGGATCTGGGGACCATGCTTTCAGGGAACATTTAGGTCAACTGGCATAACAAAGTTTATTAAGAAAATGTTCTGCAACCTACTTTGTTGAGTGGCGTGTGGGGTCTTAAAAGCTAGTGAGCAGCCATCTAAGATGCATCAATTTGTCCCAACTCACCTGGAGTAAAGGAGAATGAAGAGCACCAAAGTCACAAGGAAAGTATTAGCCCAAGAGACAGAAAGGGCCACACAAACCAGAGACTGCATCAGCCTGAGACCAGAAGAACTAGATGGTACCTGGCTACCACCGACGACTGCCCTGACCGGGAACACAACAGAGAATCCCTGACGGAGCAGGAGAAAAGCAGGGTGTAGAACTCAAATTCTAGTAAAACGATCAGACTTAATGGTCTGAGACTGAAGGATCCCCAAAAAGCATGGCCCCCGGACTCTGTCAGCCCAGAAGTAAAACCATTCCAGAGGCCAACTCTTCGAACAGATTAGACTGGACTATGGGACATAAAATGATACCCGTGAAGAGTCTGCTTCTAAGCTCAAGTAGATACATGAGACTAAATGGGCAGCTCCTGTCTGGAGGTTGAGATGAGAAGGCAGAGAGGGTCAGGAGCTGGTTGAATGGACACGGGAAATCAGGGGTGGAAAGAAGTGCGCTGTCACAGTATGGGGAGAGTAATTAGGATCACTTAACGACGTGTGTCTAAGTTTTTGTATGAGAGACTAACTTGAACTGTAAACTTTCACTTAAAGCACAATAAAAATGAATAAATAAAACTCAAGGCAGAGTTCCGAGTGGGCTGCTTCCCGATCACTCTTTAATAGGCAGTCAGTATGCAGCAGTTGAGACACCACAACCAGGAGTTCACATTACGACAGGGGGTGCAAAGGTGAGTGGTTTAAGAGAGAAAAGTAAGAGTCTCCATTATCTGGCAGCGTATCTTTATTCCTCTCACTGTAAAGACGCGGCTGTAGATAATCAGAAGGCTTCCGCGGACCTCCTCGCTGCGGGGGCCGCGGCTGCCTGGCCTCACCCAGGTGGCCTCTGTGTTGGAGGCAGCAAGGCCTTCTCGTCCCTTGCTCACCCCAGAGCTCAGGCTGGGGGGGCTGCAGAGGCCGTGCCAAGTGTGGGGGTTCTGAGCTCCAGGTGTTTCCAGCCAGCAGGAATTGCTGACAGGCATGAGTGACTGTTTTCTCTCTCCACGTGAAGTGTGTCTGGGAAGAAGTACGTCTGAGAACTCACTGGTCAGTACTCTCGAGAGCAGAAGCTAATCCGAATGCCTTTAAAGTTACACCACAAGAGAGAGCAAACTGGCCTGTGGGCTTTGTTCCAATGGGTGTATCTGTGCGCGTGTACAAGTGTGCATGTAAAGGTGTGTGTAGGTGTGTCTACCAGTGTGTGTGTAGCTGTGCATGTACAGGTGTGTCTGTGTGTGTAGGTGTGCACAGGTACCAGTGTTGGTGCACAGGTGTGTACCTGTACTGGTGTGTACACGTGTACCAGTGTGCGCTGGTGTATGTGTATAGGTGTGCGTGTGTACCAGTGTATGAGCATAGGTGAGTGCATGTATAGGTGAGCCTGTGCCTACCAGTGTATGTGTACCAGGGTGTGTACCCACGTATGCGTGTACAGGCGTGTGGGTACAGGTGTGCACAGGTACTAGTGCGTATCAGGGTGCGTATCTGGGTGCATGTGTAGGTGTGTGTGTATCAGGGTGTGCACGTATCAGGGTGCGCACGTGGGCGTGCGTGTATCACGGTGCATATCAGGGTGCGCGTGGAGGCGTGCATGTATCAGGGTGCGTGTCAGGGTGTGCATGTATCAGGGTGCGCATGTAGGCGTGCGTGTATCAGGGTGTCCATGTAAGTGTGCGTGTATCAGGGTGCGTGTGTATCGATGCGCATGTAGGCATGTATCAGAGTGCACGAGCATCGGTGCACGTGTAGGCGTGTATCAGGGTGCGTGTGTATCGGTGTGCGTGTATCAGGGTGCGCGTGTATCAGGGTGCGCGTGTATCAGGGTGTGCGTGTAGGCGTGTATCAGGGTGCGCGTGTATCAGGGTGTGCGTGTAGGCGTGTATCAGGGTGCGCGTGTATCAGGGTGTGCATGTAGGTGTGCGAGTATCAGGGTGCGGGTGCGCGTGTATCAGTGCGCGTGTAGGCGTGCGTGTATGAGGGTGGGCGTGTAGGCGTGCGTGTATCGGTGTGCGTGTATCAGGGTGCGCGTGTATCGGGGTGCCCATGTAAGTGTGCGTGTATCAGGGTGCGCGTGTAGGCGTGCGTTTATCAAGGTGCGTGTGTCCCCCCACGTGCACAGCTGACTGTCTCCCCAACACAGAAGTGCCCGACCGGACATTGCTGACATGCAGACACCCTGAGACGTACCCCAGAGCAAACCACAGTAACGCATTACAAAATCTCTCACCCCGGAAATCCGCCACCAACAGACACGGCCCCCAGGCTCGGCGCTCCAGGGCCCACCCCAATCTGAGGCTGGTTTCTGACTAGGTTGGAGGTGGGTGCTGGCGATTCAGAGCCTGCTTCCTCACTGTGCTGGCCCCACGCACACAGGCCCAGCCTCGTCCTGGGCTCTGATGGATGGACGGCTCCTGGGCCCACCTGCAACCTGGTCCCGGGTCTGCAGGGGCTCAGATCGACACAGTGACAGGCTCACTTCTCCCCAGCAGGGGTCCTACCTCTCCTCCTGGGCCAGGGGAGATGAAGGTCACACTCCTCAGCCAGGCACTGAGTGCCGGGGCCTCCAAGGAAGCATACGAAGCCCGAAGCCCCAGGACACAGGAACTCCCCAAGGGGGTGCTCACAGGGGCCCACTTTGGGAAATGCTGGCCAGCTGGCTGCCCCACCCCCCAGGCTCCCCCAGGGGCGTCAGGGGTGTGGCAGCAGCAAGGCCCTGGAATACCTGCTGAGGTGCACAGGGCACAGCTGTGGACGAGCTCCACAGGCCAGCACCCTTCACGGCACTACGGGCGGCTCAGCCCGGCCAACATGAGAGGGGGACGTCCAGGTTCACTTGGTGGCTTTGGGCCACCAGTCCGGCACAGAAGCAGTTAAGACCACAGGACCACTTTCAGAGGTTTTGATGTACAGGGGACCCTTGATTTTCTCAGTCTGCAGCAGAGCCAGCCCCACGTCGCCCTCGCTGGCCCTGAACTTCCCGGCTGCCTTTCCTGACTCGGTGAGGACGGGGGTGCCCGGTGCGATGCCGGCCGAAGGCAGCGGGCTGTGCAGCCGTACAGGGAAGAGGCGCTTGCGGATGACGCCCATGTGGTGGGTGCGGGCTGTCAGCTCCTGGCCCATGTAGCAGCCCTTGGTGAAGCTGACTCCATTCATGAAGGCCAGGTTGGACTCCAACGGCAGAGCCACTCCTGGGGGCAGGTCTCGGACCCCCTCGGGAACGCCTGTTGAGATGAGAGGGAGGAACTGGGTCAAAGCTGAAATGGCAGTGACTCAGAGGGCCTCAGCCATGCTGCCGGGAGGGCCAGGCCCAGAGAAAGGGTGGGCTTTCCCTCCCCCTCCCTCCGAGCAAGCCCCAGCCCCAGGTGAGCCAGCCCTTCACGCTGAGCCCCAGGCGACATGACACCGCAAGACCCCAAGCCCCGCCTGCCCCCCCACTCAGTTCCTGCTGCTTCTCCACCTGGATACCTGGGGCTCTTCCGAAGGAGCCAGCACCCAGCACCCACTGAGGCGCCTCCGCTCACACCTGGCACGGGGAAGGCCAGGTGAACCCACCCTGACACTGTCCGCACAGAGGCCGCCTGTCTGTGAGCGCCCCCCTGCAGAGCCGCCGTCCGCCCTGCTGCCAGGCCATCGCCCTACCCCGCCCGCTGCACAGGTGAAGGCGTTACCTTGTCGGTAGCGGTGCCTGCGATAGTCCCGGAGGTCCCCGTGCCGGCTGCCGGGCACCAGGAGCAGGGCTGAGTTCTCCCTCGGGGTGAGCAGCCGCCAGCCCATGCAGGCCGTCCTGGGGTCAGCAGTGAGGACGGTGGCCCCCTCCGCCTTCTCCTGCAGGGGCCGGGCCCTGTGGGCCTCGGAGGTGCTGGGCAGCAGGGCCCACACTCCCAGCTCCGGGCAGGGCTCCACCTCCACCTTCCGCCGGACCCGGTAGAACACCAGATGCTTCTGCAGTGTGTCCACCGCGGAGATGTCACACTCCAGGAAGAAGCCCATCGCCGCATCCACACCCTCCTCGGGGAGTCTGGGGGAGACACAGGGCATGGGAGGGGACCTGCCGCCCCCTCCCAACACCACCAGGCCAGGACACCCCCACGGGGACTGCTGGCACGAAGGGTGCGGGGGCTACCCCTCCAGACCAGAGACTTCTCCTCTCCCAGCTGAGGGCATGCTGAGCCGCCACGCCAGTCCCGTGGCTGGATCTGGATGGGGTCAGAGCAGGGCTGGCCCTGACACTGTCAGCCAGCACCGGTGTGCACTGAGACTGGCTTGGGGACGTGGAGGTGCCAGACCACGACAGCCACCCGGGCTCTGACAGCAACGGGAGGAAACAGCCTGGGGCTGAGACCACCACCAGCTGCTAGCTAGATGGAGGAGGGGTGGTGCACCCCAGCCAGACGGCCGGGCAGGCCACACCGGGGAACAGGTCCCGCCTGGGTCTCAGGAAGACCACTCGGGCAGGGGGTGGGGGTGGGAGGATGGGGTGGGGTCCAGGCACTGAGTCAGACGACCTGGCTCTGTCGAGGGTGGAGGGGACACCGGACCGGGGCTCTGCTGCGGCGCGGCCGGTCCCGGTGGGCAGGGGATGAACAGCGGAGGGGCCGCACCACCTCCCCGCTCTACCCAAGGCAAACACCAACACCTGGCTGTGGGCTCTCCGGGTTGAGCCCACCCTGCACTCCAGGTGGGCACACCACTTGGGATGACACCAGCTTGTCACGCTGGACCACGAGATTAAGCCTTTAGAACACATACAGGAAGCAATTTACAAAGGAACAGCAGAAAATAAGAACACTTCCAGAAGCTAAAAACAGAAAACTTGAAGCATGAACTTAAACAGTCTTCAACAAGGCTGAGGAAATCTGACAGAAAAAAGACAAAATAAGAGAGAAAAGATATAGGCCTTAAATAATCAATCCAATATGCGGCTAATCGCCTCCATGAATAACCGCCTCCTTTGCCACGGAGACAGAAAACTGGATGGCACCCAGCTACCACTCCAGAACGTTTGGATCAAAGAGTGTACAGAAGAATCCTGATTAAAAGGGGGAAAATGCAGAACAGCATTTCAAATTCTCATGGAATCCAGGCTTTCTGGAACCGCTGAGGCTGGATGAACCCCAGAAACTTGCCCGGCAATAATCTTTAAACCTTGAGATTGAGGGTCACTGGGCAGTACCTACACCCACCACAAAGGGGCACTGCTGCTCCAGGCGTCCACGAGGCCTCCTCCTACCCACCTTCCCACCTGGAGTGAAGGCTTTGGAAAAACCACAAAGGAAAAAGTACAAATGCCAAGGTCTGGAAGCCAAGGTTCTCCGTGCTCCCCCTCCGCTCCCCTAAGCACACTCCTCTGCTCACTGCCCCGTCCCCTCCAGCCAGCTCCTCTCCCCATCTAGGAAAGCTTCCCTGACCAGTCTGATCCCAGGGGGTTCTGTCTCTGCTGCTCTTGAACATCTCAGCCAGCTCCACAAAAGCGCAGTGTGGGGACCCAGGCCGAGCCAGCACAACCCCTGCAGCACACAGAGGCACCCCCCCAGGCCCCTGCGACCCTGCCTGGGGGTCAGGGGATGCTTCCCGGGTAAGACGGCCCCAGGCGCCGGCGGCTTAGGGTTCAGGGCTTTGCCAGTGATTTGGCACGCTGGCTGGAGCAAGGGCGTTGGTGGGAGGAACTGGCAAATAGGAACCAGGCCCCAAACGTCCTGTCAAGAAGTTGGTTAGCCCGCCACGACGGTGCTGGGGGGCCTGCTAAACAATGTTTAAAAGGAGAATTACATCAGATCTGAGGTTTTAAAAAATCATTCTGGAAAATGGTTTTCTGGGTAAACATGATGGACAGAGATCTGTGATGACCTCCACTCTCCCAATGCTACTACAGCAACAGTGGAGGACTTTAAAACGTCAAAAATTTACAAAAACGAGACGGGGTATCTCAGTTATCTAGTGCTGCTATAACAGAAATACCAAAAATAGGTGGCTTTACAAACAGAAATTTATTTTCTCACAGTTTAGGAGGCTAGAAGTCCGAGTTCAGAGCAGCAGCTGGAGAAGTCTCTCTCTCTCTGTCGGCTCTGAAGGAAGGTCCTTGTCTCTTCAGCTTCTGCTTCCCGGTTCCTTGGAGATCTCCCCGCGTCTTGGCATCGAGCTTAGCCCCTCTCTCATCTGCTCACTTGTTTAATCTCTTTTATGTCTCAAAAGAGATGGACTCAAGATACACCCGACACTAATCCTGCCTCATTAACACAACAAAGAAAACCCATTCCCAAATGGGGTTACAACCGGGGACACAGAGGTTAGGATTTACACCATATACTTTAGGTGACGTAATTCGATCCATAAGACATGACAAAAGTCATCAACACGTTATGAAGACGGAAAGCTAAGTACCGCGTAAGCTAACAGCACTCAAATCCGACTGTAAGGGCCTATGGACTGGGGTGAAGAGCACATTCTGCCTGCAGAGCCCCGAAATCTCAGGCAGGTGGAGCAAGAAATGGGATAAAAATAGAGGGACCGACTGAAGTTTGAAACGGAGCAGTGAGATTCTGGGGAGGAGCTGTTGTTGTTGGGTGCTGTTGAGTCAGTTCCGACTCACAGCGACCCTAAGTATAACAGAACGCGACAGTCATTGTCATGCTTGAGCCCATTGCTGCAGCCACTGTATCAATCCATTTGGTTGAGGGTCTTCCTCTTCTTTGCTGACCCTCTACTTCACCAAGCATGATGTCCTTCTTCAGGGACTGATCCCTCCTGGTAACATGTCCACAGTATGTGAGATGAAGTCTTGCCATCCTTGCTTCCAAGGAGCATTCTGGCTGTAATTCTGGATTTTTCACCCCTCTCTGTATCACGCGGCTTTGCTAACACCCCACTGTTTGCTAACATCCCACTGCTTGACGCCTTTGGCTAGTGGGATATTGGCAAAGGTGACGGATGTGGACGCACATCTTGGCATGAGTACACGCCCAGGCCAGAGGCATGGATCAGAGCCAAGTCACCCGGATCTCCGGCCAAAGCCACCCCAGATCAGCCAAGAGCCAGCTGATCCCAGACACAGCCCAGCTGCGGTCAACCGCATTCTGCAAACGCAGGCACTAAATCCATGTTTAGCACACGCTGTGTGCCATTGAGGTTTGGGCTGTTTGCGATCCAGCATGATGACTGGGGTGGCCGCGAACTGATACGGAAGCCCAAGTCAATACCCCGCCATCACACAGGCATCCGCACCCCCAACAGTGCCAGATTTGGGGATCCCAGGCCTGGGAATGGGCAAGGGTGAGGACGGAGACAGAAGACATGGGCATGCAGTAAAAAGCCTCGGAACAGTCAAGGGGAATGCCTGGCCTCCTTACCAGGATTGTTCTGAGAAGCTAAACTGCCCTACTCCACCCCAAGAAACTAGGTGCAGACCCAGACACCTCAAGCTGTCCCACCAAAAGCCAGCTGATCATGAGATCTTCTTACAGTGAAGCCCTGCGGTCGACAAGTCCCACCCAGAAGCCAGATACTTATATCATCTCTTTCTGGCAGCCAAGCACTTGAGGAAAGCCTCCAACATGAAAGACAGATCAAAACAAACCCGTGAGACAAGGAACCGGGGAAACAAACACATGGCAGGAGTGAGGGGGAACAACTCACCAAAACTACAGCCTCACCGAAGATACTGCATCCAGGAAACAAGAGCAGCGCGCCTGAAGAGAGGAACAGCTGAAGGGTGAGAAAGAAGCTCTTAGACGTTGAAAGTATCAGGGTTGAAATAAAAAGGTCCAAAGAGAGAGAAAGCAGAAACGATGGCATGGCGGGCGGGAACCGACTGCAGAGAAGCTGGGGATGCACAGGGGCCTCCAGGGAAAGGGCCTTGACCCCTCCTCACAGCACTGCCCTCTCCCCAGAGGAGAGGCCAGAAAGAGCAAAACATGGTAATACAGGAAGTAAGTTATGACTTAGGAGATGACAGTGGAGCCATTATTCCCTGTCCTTGGGCACAGAGAATGGGACCCAGCTGGAGCTGTGCTCACAAGGACTCACAAGGACACATCAACTGGCCCTCAGGTATAAAGACAATAGCTAGGACAATCTTGGAAAACATCTTTTAGAGAAATTTTCACATACACAACTCATAAAAACAGCACAAAGACCCACATACTTTCCACTCTTATCTTTTTCTATTAGCATTTAGTGAATAGTAAGATTTGTTGGACCAATGAAGACCCTCCTGACTGTCGTTACTGAAACCTGTACCACTGACTGTTAAGAAAGTCAATTCAAAACGCAGAATCACATTGATTTAGCAGTTTCTAGCCAATCTGTGAAAAGGTGAAGCTTTCAATGGTTTTGCCCACTTGTGATGTTAATATATACTGATGATTCTGTGAAGTTCCTCAGACTTGGGCAGACGTGGCTCTGGCCGCATGCTTGTCCGTTTTCCCACTCTTGTCTGTTCCGTAACATTCCTCGGACTCGGACAGACACGGCTCTAGCAGCATGCTTTTCCGTTTCCCGCTTTTGTCTCTTTAAACATACGCCAAAAAAAAACTTTTCTTTTTGCTTTACTAAAGTTTGTGATGCTTTTACCCTAGAACAATTTTCAGCAGCAACCAAACAAGGTAAGGGATATAATCTTAGGAACTAAACTTCCAAAGTTGTCAGACAAGAAAAGAAGCATCTGTAGTTGAGTGGAAAGAACAGAAGAGCTCAGCTCCTGGCCCCACCCCCCATACCACTGGAGCAGACCCGGCGGGGAGATAATTCCTATCAATACCCCCAAACCTGAGAGGCATCCTTATCTTCCCCCTCTTCTACCTGTTGAAGAGAAATGGGATCATAAATTACGGGACTGCATCTCTTTGATGGAACTGAAGACTTCCGAGTTTCACAAAACATTACTATAATCATTCAGAGTTTCATGGCGTGCCCCCACAGGAACTATGCATTCACCATCACTACCACCTGGTGGAATATTCTCTGACACACCATTCTTAATTAAAATTTCAGAATACAGACCAGAGTCAGGTGACTTCGTCCTTCACTGCCATGCCAGGGAGGGACAGAGTCACCCGCAACCACCACTATTGGACCGATCAGAGAAAACAAAATGTCCAGAAAGAACCACCCAAGCATATACAAAAAAAAACCCAAACCCGTTGCCGTCGATTCACTTCCGACTCAGCAACCCTACAGGACAGAGTAGAACTGCCCCACAGGGTTTCTAAGGAGTGGCTGGTGATTCGAACAGCCGACCTTTTGGTTAGCAGCCGAGCTCTTAACCACTGTGCCACCAGGGCTCCAACCACCCAAGCATATGCAACAGCTGGCACAGCAACTACGCAAAAAAAACCTCTACAACAGATGAAAAAGTACAAAAAGAATAAGAAAGAAACTCTCCCGAAACAAAATGAAATTCTCAACGTAGAATAACTTACAAGAATATGAACTCAATAAAACGAGCTCAGCGGCAAAAAGATGTAAGGGAAGTCGCAGACTAAGGAAGCAAATCTGGGAACGAAAGCAACGTCATTATAAAGCTAATAAATAAATTTAAACACCAATTACCAGACTGTTGTCGTTGTTGTTAGGTGCCATGGAGTCAGTTCTGACTCATAGCGACCCCATGTACAACAGAACAAAACACTGCCCGGTCCTGCGCCATCCTCACAATCGCTGTTACGCTTGAGCCCATTGTTGCAGCCACTGTATCAATCCATCTCGCTGAGGGTCTTCCTCTTTTTTGCTGACACTTTACTTTCCCAAGCATGATGTCCTTCCCCAGGGACTGGTCCTTCCTGATAACACGTCCAAAGTACGTGAGACGAAGTGTTGCCGTCCTCACTTCCAAGGAGCACTCTGGCTGTACTTCTTCCAAGACAGACTTGTTGGTTCTTCTGGCAGTCCATAATTTGATATTCTTTGCCAACGCCGTAATTCAAAGACATCAACTGATAATCAGATTACTACTGAAAATTACTGACATAGAAAGCTCAAGATAATTAAATACAGGTTTTTTTAAGATAAAGAAATTACAGGAAAGGTAATAAATATTCAAGACAGACAATGACAATGAAGTACGAAATACACAGGTACCTAAACCTCCAGAGCAGGAGTTTTTCTGTAAAAGGCCAGAGACTAAATATTTCGGGCTTAAGGCCATAAGGTCTCTATCATAACTACTCAACTCTGTCACTGCATGGCAAAATAGCCACAGATCATATGGAAACGAATGGGCAAGGCAGGATTCCAATAAAACTTTATGAAAACGGGCAGCAGGCTGGCTCTGGCCTGAGGATCATATTTTGTTGTCCCGTGCTCTAGATTCATTGAGCCCAAGTGCTCAGCAGTAAGATATGAAAAAAGACCAAAAATAATAAATATTGTTATGATATTTCAAGACATCAAGGATAAAGAAAAGCTCTTAAAAGCTTCCAAAGAAAAAAGCAATTCACATATAAAAGACTGGTAATAACAAAGCATTAGATTTCTCAACAGAAAAGTGGCAGCCACAAGACAATGAAGTCATGCGTTTAAAATTCTGAGTGACAATTTTCAACCTAGAATTTTATACCCAGGTAAGCTATCAAGTAAAACCACTTATAGACATACAATGAGTCAAAAAACTCACGTCATAGATCTCAGTTCTCAAGAAGCTACTAAATAATGTGTTCCTCCAAACTGACGGAGCAAACTAAGAAAGGTAAAGGCAAAGAATCCAGAAAGTGGGATCCACACAGGAGAGAGACAATGGGGGTTCCCAGGGTGAGTACGCAGGGAGTCCCGGGAGCATAGCTGTGCTGCAGGCCTAGAAACTGGTCCAGTTTAGAAAGGGTAAACTCCAAGAAAAGCTGAACAGGTGGATTATCTGGCATGACTGCCTGCCTGGAATTACACCGAGAAGGTGTGGAGGAAATCAGTTCAGTGTTAGATCTTTTCTTCCTTTTCCAGATTCGCTGGAATTTGGGCTTGGACGAATTCACTCCTGGAACCTCGGACACAAAAACTCCTGTCTCCTTTGACCTTCTCGATCCACACAAAACATTTCTGCTGACACACAGCTTTAATCTATGTATGCACTCTAAGGTTCTAAACTGACAGTCAACAGACTCTCTGCTTCTTCTGAGAAGCTGAAGTTGTTTGTTTTTTAATTGTTTTATTTTGGTGAAAGTATACACAGCCAAAGACACACCATTTCAACACTTTCTACATGTGCAATCAATGACACTGTTTACATTCTTCAAGTGGTACTACCATTCTCACTACACCTCCTCACTAACCGACTATCTCGTTATCCAACGTTTTGCATTTACAATAGTAAAAACTCTCCTATCGAACTATTTTGCACATTAACGACGTACGCCTGGCAGTAACAAACACTGACGTGCAAGGTGAGAGTGACACTGGCTATGATGGTTAAGGTTATGTCAACTTCGCTGGGCCATGATTCTCAGGGGTTTGGCAGTTATGTAATGATGCAGTCATCCTCCATTTTGTGATCTGATGTGGTCATCCTCCATTTTTGCATAATGCCTATTTTCACGGAACGACCCGGTCTGTGGACCCAACGGTCTCGATCAGTCAGGAGCAGGTGTATACTTTTCCAAATTATCCCACCACCATTATCTTAAACTCACTGCTCCCTAGGCTTCTCATCCAGCATTTTGAGTTGCAGTTGTCAATTTGACCTCACATAGATAATTCTTTGAAAGATCACAATGCTCAAAGCAGATGTACTTACTAATTAAGATACGCGGTTTTTTGGTTCAAAGAAGACTTCAGGGGACAGTTTTGGTTGAAAGATTATTTCAGAGCAATAGTTTCAGGGGTCCATTCAGCCTCAATGGCTCCAGAAAATCTGGATTCTACTGAGAATTTGAAATTCTATTCGCATTTTCCCCCCTTTTGATGAACATTCTTTTGTAGACTCTTTGATCAAAACATTCAGTAATGATATGTAAGCTTAAGTTTTAATTGCTCCAGTATACCATTTTTTTCCCCCAACTTAATGACAAATCCAAACCCGCTGCTGTCCAACTCACAGAAACCCCATAGGGTTTCCAAGGCTATAAATCTCTACAGAAGCAGACTGCCACATCTTTCTTCCATGGAGCGGCTGGTGGTTTCCAACCACCAACCTTTCAGTTAGCGGTCAATTGCTTTAACCACTGCGCCACCAAGTCTCCTTGCCTGACTTAATATATGATAAAATTAATAACCTGCCGCAACTTCAAAAATATAAGGGAAAAAATGCTTCGTTCTGTTCTTCCCCTGCTCCCCCCTCCATTCTTCTGTTATCAATATAAACTCCTAGCCTGTCTTTCTTCCTAGTCACAGAGAAGGTGCTGCTCATCCACGGACCTATAAACTAAATAAAACTTCAAATGACAACCGCTGATTTTCTCTGACAAGAGAGAACTAAGCCAATGAAAACCAAAAGTTGTATAAGGACAATCAAGGTCCCTCACTTGGCTTAGCAGCGAACATCGATTAGTCATAATAACGACAACATTGACCAATTTAACCAAAAACTATGTAACCAGCTTGGGGAAGGAGGGGGCCTAGGGAAATTAGGTGTGAACTGGAGACCTCAAGAAGCACAACCTGTCCAGAGAAACATGGTGGTGGCCCCAGAGGAAACGGCCCCGGGGGCTGCTCCTCGCCGTGCGTCGCCTGAGGGTTTCCGCGAGGTGGAGGCAGCATGGTGCCCCGGGCACGGCTGTATCGCGAGCAGCAACTCTGACGGACCCTCCCCGGCCCACAGGACGCCTGGACCCTCCCCTGGGCGCCCAGACCGTCTCCGGCTCGCAGTGAGACTCCGCCGCTCTCACCGGTACAGGATTACGTCATAGAGCGTCCGGCCCTGGACGTTGAGAAAGTGGGCGTAGCCCGCGCGCGCCGCAGGCGGGGTCGTCCCCGTCCCGGTACCCGGAAGCGGCAGCTCATTGGTCAGCAGCCCCGAGAGGAAAGGCGCTGAGTCCGGCCCGCGCACGCGCAGCACGGCGCGCTCGCCAAGCGGGAAGCAGGTCCAGGGCGAGCCGTGCGCGTTGTCGCCGCCGGGATGGCCTGCGCCGTGCGTGAGGCGGCGCCTCGGGGCCGCACACAGCCGCAAGCCCCAGAAGGAGCTGCCGCGGCCCGGGGCCGTCCCGCGGAGGAGCGCCGCGGCCGCCATCTTGGGCAGGAGTGCGGACGGGCAGGAAGGGACGCTACGAGGGTAGCTGCCCTGCGAGTTCTGCTACAGCGGCCCCTGGCGGCGCCCGCCGGGCGGGGGCGGGGCCTCGGCCTATCAGTCCGCCCCCGAAGAGGGGGCGGGGCTTCGGCCTATCAGTCCGCCGCCGGAGAGAGGGCGGGGCCTCGGCCTATCAGTCCGCCGCCGAAGCGAGCCCAGGCGACCGCTTCCCCACCGCCGCCCCCGTGGCCGTGGGTCTCGCTGCCTCTCCTTGAGGCTTCTGCCTTCCTTACCAGCGTGAATTCTGGGCCATCCGGGACAGTCACTATTCGAATTCGCCCTTGACTTCTTGTCCCGTCTCTGACAGATGGAGTCCCTGGGTGGTGCGAATGGTCAAGGACTGGCCTACCAGCTGAAAGGTTGACAGCTGGAAGCCGCCCAGAGGTGCCTAGCAAGACAGGCCTGGCCATCTGCTTCCAAAAGGTCACAGCCTTGAAAACCCGATGGAGCAGTTCTACTCTGCACACATGGGGTCGCCATGAGTTGGAGTCCACTCGACCGCAACTCACAGCAGCCACTCTGAAGCCTTCCACTCAGCATACAAACCCAGGGTTATTTGTCCCATCTTAAGATGTAGTTTTTGAACCCTGACTCCCCCATAAGCTACTATTCCCAACATTTTGTTTTCAGTGAAACCCTGTGTCTTAGTCATCTAGTGCTGTTATAACAGATATACCACAAGTGAATGGCTTTAACACAGAGAAATCTATTTTCTCACAGTCTAGTAAGCTAGAAGTCCAAATTCAGGGCATCAGTTCCAGGGGAAGGCTTTCTCTCTCTGTCAGCTCTGGAGAAAAGTCCTTCTCATCAATCTTCCCCTGGTCTAGGAGCTTCTCTGCACAGGAACCCCAGGTCCAAAGGACATGCTCTGCTCCCGGTGCTTCTTTCTTGGTGGTATGTAGTCCTCAACTCTCTGCTTGCTTCCCTTTCCTTTCATCTCTTGTAAGATAAAAGGTGGTGGAGGCTATACCCCAGGGAAACTCCCTTTACATTGGATCAGGGATGTGACCTTATTAAGGGTGTTACAATCCCACCCTAATCCTCTTTAACATAAAATTACAATTACAAAATGGAGGACAACCACACAATACTGGGAATCATGGCCCCGCCAAATTGATCTGCACATTCTTTGGGGGACATAATTCAATCTATGACACCCTGTGAGAGAGCATTTGTGCTGTCTGCAATTCCTCTCTCCTCATCCGCAAACCAACATCCGTGATGTCATAACCTAGCCTCTTCTCTCCTCTCCTGTCCACTTGCACATGGCCACTGGGCTGGCCAATCACCATCTCTCACCTGGAACATCTCCCAGTTTCCACTGCTGGCTACCCCCTCCCCGCGTCTCCTGACACTGCTCTTCCCAAAGCCTGCCAATGGCACTCACAGTCACCTCTGACCTCCACTCCTGGGCTCCCTTCCCCAAGACAGCCACTAGACTCACTCCGTTACCTCCCGCAAGATTGGGCCAAGATGCCACCTTCTAACACAGCTGCCTCTGGCCACCTATTTATTGATTTTTCCAATAGTTTATTGGAAACATTCTAATCGACAGGAGATGTGAAGGAATGATAAAATGAATGACTGTCACCCTTTACCTGATGCACCAGTTGTGAACGTTTTGTTGCGTTTGCTTTATCTGTCTGACTGTCTAGTGTTTGGCTGGGTCAGCTGCAGACGTCATGACACTCGGCCCCGAAATCCTGCAGCAAGCAGCCAGGAACAAGGACGTGCTCCTGCCTCTCTCTCTCCAGCACCAGGGCGCACTTGCTAGTCTAAGACATCCAGCCGGAGGCAGAGCTCCACAAGTCTGCCAGCTATGTCCTTTGTAACTGTCACTGTTTCCAACCTGTGGTCCAAGCCAGGATCACACATGACGTTTGGTTGTCAAGTCTCTTTAGTCGCCTTTAATCTAGTGTAGCAACCCCCCATCCCCCTTTATGGATTGAATTGTGTCCTCCAAAAACATGTGTCCACCTGGCTAGGCCATGATTCCCAGCATTGTGTGGTCCTCCACCACTTTGTGATCTGATGTCATCGTCCCGTGTGTTGTACATCCTCACCTCTGATGTTAACGAGGCAGGATTAGAGGCAGTTACCTTAATGAGGCAGGACTCAATCTACAGGATTAGGTTGTATCTTGAGTCAATCTCTTTCGAGACATAAAAGAGAGAAGTGAGCAGAGAGGAGAGGGACCTCATGCCACCAAGAAAGAAGTGCCAGGAGCAGAGCATTTCCTTCGGACCTGGGGTCCCTGTGCTGAGAAGCTTCTAACCCAGGGGAAGATTGATGTCAAGGACCATCCCCCAGAACCAACACAGAGAGAAAGCATTCGCTGGGAGCTGGCACCCTGAATTTGGACTTGTAGCCTCCTAGACTGTGAGAGAGAGAATAAATTTCTGTTTGTTAAAGCCATCCACGTGTGGTATTTCTGTTATAGCAGCATTAGATAACTAAGACAGTTCGTGTTTGTTGAATAGACAAACTGCTGTCCCAGGGCCTGTCTGAGCGTGCTGCGCCCTGGCTGTGATCACAGCCAGCCTGGGAGCCCCAGCTCCTCCCAGCCGGCCTTCCCGGGGGAGAGTCTGGCCTGACCTTGTGGTGGGGACAGCGCTACCGCCCGGCCAGCTTCCTGGTGGGGACCAGCCAGGCTCGGTATGCGGCTCCCCCTGGCCCAGCTGCTGGCCTGCCGACCGTCATGGGGGAGGCCTTCCTCCACTCAGCCCAGGGCCAGACCCCGCCCGGCCTGGGGTTCCTGTGGGTGACCCGCACCGCCCTGCAGAGAGGATGGAGAGGAAGCGGGGGAGGATGACACGGGGGCAGGGGGCACGTTCCTCCAGCATCACATCAGCCATCCCTGGCCACCGGAGGAATGCACTTCCCACCGAATGGCCCACAGGAAGGACGAGGGGCTTGACTAAGCCCATGCCTGGCGCCAAAGGTGTCGCAGGAGCCGCCCGGCATCTCCCTCCTCCCAGCCATCCCCAGGCCCCAAGGCCTGCACAGCCATGCCTCGCTGTCTGGCAGGGTAGCCAGGAGCCACACGGGGCATCTTAAGTTAATTCAAATTAAATAAAATGAAACGTTCAGTGCCTCAGTTGCACTGGCCACATTTCAAGGCTGCCTTAGTGAATGGTGCGGAGCACATTCCACTATCCCAGAGCTCTGCTGGGCAGCACTGCTCCAGGCCCCCTCCTCCAAGCAGCCCTCCTGGACGTCTGCACCGGCTGTTGCTGTGTACCACGTATAAGGTGTACGTGGGACCCACTGGCCGTCTCACCCCTTGCCGCCCCATCCCCCGACCCCTGCCTTGGCTTCTTCTCATTCCGTCCCCTCAGCTGTGCAGAGAGGGGGCTGGGGGCCTGACCTGGGGCTCCCAGGGAACAGAGCGCCCATCTCGGCCTCATTCATTGATCTGGGCTTGGCCAGGGGCCTGGGCTGGAGCCGGAGCCGCCTCTGAGGCTACGGACCCTGGAAGCCATCAGAAGGTGCGGGGAGCTGAGAGCTGGAAAATTGGCCAGGCCTGAGGGGTCCCAGACCCTGCTTCCCAGCTGCTGCCGGGTAGGGGGCTGGCTTCCTGTTATTCTCTCCTCGTGGCCTCCTCCCTTCCCAAAGGAAGGAGAGGAACAATCCCCCCATTCTGGGGGTGCCCTCCATGAACTGTTTCTCCCATGAGCAGCTGGCGGTTGGCTGCGGCCGTGGAAACGGATGGGGGCTAGACAAGAAGAACTTACTCCCATCCGATCCTGGTCCAGCCGCTCCTCCACCCAGGCTGTCCCTGCCTGGCAGGTACTGGGGCAGGCCGCACACATCCCTGGGGCCCCAGACAAGGCACTGAAGGCAGGGAGCCGGGACGCCTGGATCGGGGCCAGTCAGCTTGCTGCAGAGCCGGGGAGACAGGCCAGGCTGGGAGAGAAGGGAATGTGGAGACCTCAGTGTCGGGTCAGCAGTGCCAGGCTCTGTCCTTGTGGTACGGATGGAGAAACTGAGGCCTGGGGAGGTTTAAGTTTAGTAGCTGAGTTTAACCCTTGAGTGTTCATAGAGGCGGGCATATCAGATACTACATTACACATTGGAAAGGACAGCCACCGGCATGTACTGGAGCTCAGGCAGAAACTGCGAGCGTGTCGGGATTCGTGCTCAGGCCAGGTCAACGCAGTGACAGGACTCACCTCCTGCAGCACAGCCTGCTCCGGCTTCCTTGGCCCTGGACGTTTCAGTGACATTCCTGTCAGGGAGGATGTGGCAGTAGAACCTAAGTCACTGCCATGAGAAGCTCACGGAACTTTAAGGCTGACAGGACCTCGGCGGTTCGCCAGGCCCCCAGCCCGAGTCACGGAGGATGAAGGTCTGTCCCTAGGGTCCCTCCTCTCGCTTCTTCCATGGTGATAGAATTCTTAGCTGGGCATACGCTCCCCAAAATAGAGACTGTCCTTACCGGCTCGCTTTGCAGCTGGGGTGAGTGAGGGTTGTGTGTGGTAGCTGGAGAAACCTCCTTCAGAGCTGGGGCATAGCCTTTGTCTCTTCTTTCTCACCAAGTCCCCCTCCTACTCTCTGGAAAGCAGACGTGCTGGCTGGAGCCTAGCCACCATCTTGGCACATGGAGATGAGGCTGCTGCCTGGGAAAGGTGAGCTGGTGGCCTGGAAGCGACATTACAACCACACTCCAAACTTGTACTTGACTGAAAAGCAGACTGTCTTGTTGAATCTGCCCTTATTGGGGTTTTCTGAGATGCACATCCGGACCCAAACCTGACTTTCATATTCATGGAATGGAGCAAGCCAATGGTGGGACCAGGGCCAAGGGCACAGGCAGGCTAGCTCAGGTGCCACCTCCACCTGTGGCCCAGCCAAGTCTCCCTCTGCCATTGTGGTTTCTCACTGGTGACCCCCTCACCTGAGAGGTCAATGGGCTCGGAGCACAAAGGCTCCTGCACCACTTAGGATGGTTCCAGCCTCAGGAAATAGCCTCAGCTCTAGGGGCATACACATGAAGGAAATGCATCTTGCATGACAAGTCCCAAAGCAGACAGCTCCACGTTGCCCTCAGGACCAGGCCCGGTCTATCTTTCTGCCCTGTCATCCTCAGTGAGTCAGCCGGGGCCTAGCTGGCTGACACTGTTCCAGGAGGGGATTCGAGTGAAGGCTGGGCCTGCTGCATGCGAAAGCTGGACAATGAATAAGGAAGATCTAAGAAGGATTGATGCCTTTGAATTATGATGTTGGTGAAGGATACTGAATGTACCATGGACTGCCAGAAGAATGAACAGATCTGTCTTGGAAAAAGCCAGAATGTTCCTTAGAAGAGAGGACAACAAGACTTTGTCTCACATATTTGGACATGTTATCAGGAGGGACTAGTCCCTGCAGAAAGACATCACGTTTGGTAAAGTAGAGGGTCAGTGAAAAAGAGGAAGACCCTCAACGAGATGGATGGACACAGTGCCTGCTGTGATGGGCTCAAACATAGCGATGATTATGAGGATGGTACAGGAATGGGCAGTGTTTCGTTCTGTTGTACATAAGGTCACTAAGAGTTGGAAGTGACTCGATGGCACCTCACAACAACAACAGGGCCCGCTGCAACAGACAGATACCACACTGCAAGGAAGTAAGGTCAGCGGGCAGCTCTGCTCCACACGGTAACTCAGGGATCCAGGTTCCCTCCATCTAGTTGTTTGGTGGTGTTCTTGTCTACGTTGGCGTCGCTGGCTGTGAGCACGTCTCGAGGCAGCTCACTGTTAGGACAAAGAAGCCACTGAGTGAGTAGCCAATGTCTCAAGACCCAAGCCTGGACATCCCTTTCATTTGTCTTCCACCAGCGACACCCTGGCCGCACTGATGCTCTTATCTATGAAAGAGTCTGGGAGATGCAGTCTCCACTGGAAAGCCAGAAAGAAGGCAAAAGAGGATTGTGGCCGACAGATTGCCGTCTCTGCCCCACCTCCAGCAGAAGAGCAGGCTAGTTCTTCTTCCCACACTGTTGTATAGGATTTTATCTTAAACATAAAGAAATGCCCAGGTTTTTCATGTATAAACTCATTTACTTTATTGCAAAGTAGTCATGGCAAGGCATGCAAGACGATCATTTAGAACCGGAGAATCAAAATGAACAATTACGATGTTGTTCAATGGTTAGAGTCCCAATCTTTAGACTTCAGGCTTTTACTTTCAATAAGAGGTCTCAGGAGTAAGGCTTGACCGTGGCTCAGATTTGGCAGAAGTCCTTCAAAGCTTGGGTCTGAGGTTGGCAACAGCGAGCAGAGCCTCAGGCCACAATCTCAGTCTTCTGAGAGAGTCAGCCTCTAGAGAGAGGTTCCATCTCTGTCTTCCCTCAGTGTGTGAGCAGGAATTCAGGGTTTGTATGTTAAATTCTCACCTTGGCTTCATGTAATAAGGGCCAGTGTGACATCAAAGACTAGTCTGTTATGTCTTCTCCCCAGGGTTAGAGATTAACCGGATGTCACATCTTCTCTTCAAGGTTAGAGATTAAGGAGATTGTTTAGATTTATGTCTCAAGGCAGTGTACAAAGATTAACTATGTTATGTTTTCTTTTCCCACAGCATGCCGGGGTGAGAGCAACTTAAACGTTGTTTACCACATTCTTCACATACTTCTGTTTTTCTATGTCTAAATTCAGAAATTTTCTACTCTAAGTCACATTATAAGTAAATTATGCGTCTGTGGCTTAAGATCATTACAAAAGAAACAACACAGCTTTATACATATTACAGAGTCATACATGATTTAAGAGCAATACAGGATCATATGTGATTTGAGAACATTACAAAAAGCATACATAACACTTGCTTCTCTTCTTCAGAGCAAGAAGATTTTCCCCAGAGGCCCCTGGCAGTCCTTCCTCACATGGACCCAAATCACTGCAAATTATATCTGAAGCAGCAAAGGGTTTGAGAAGACAGACTCTGGACAACCAGTGTGGCAATCACTGACTCATGTCAGAGCTGGGATAAAAAGAAGGGGGAACAGCTGTAAGAAAGGCCACTGACAGCATGCGTTCCAAGTGGGTGGGGAGGGAAAGGGACACTCCATTTTGTGGTAAGGAGGGCTATGCTGACTAAGGTCTGCAGGGTTCGTGTGGCTGAAGGTATTTTCCAAGTAAGATTTCCTGTCCCACATGCTCTTCTTAAAACATGAGGTGGACACCTTAAGAGGTGGAGATCTTGTTCCCTCTTGAACGCAAGCAGGCCTGTGACTACCTATGATGGAAGTGATCTGACTTCCAAGGCCAGAGTCTTAGTCATCCAGTGCTGCTGTAACAGAAATGCCACAAGCGGATGGCTTTAACAAAGAGAAATTTATTCTCTCACAGTCTAGGAGGCTGCCAGTCCAAATTCAGGGTGTCAGCTCCAGGGGAAGGCTTTCTCGCTCTGTTGGCTCTGGAGGAAGGTCCTTGTCATCAATCTTCCGTTAGTCTAGGAGCTTCTCAGCACAGGGACCCTGGGTCCAAAGGACATGCTATTCTCCTGGCTCTTGTTTCTTGGTGGTATAAGCTCCCCGTCTCTCTGCTTGCTTCTCTCTTTTATATCTCAAAATAGATTGACTTAAGACACAACCTAATCTTGTAGATTAAGTCCTGCCTTATTAACATACTTGCCGCTAATTCCACCTCATCAACATCATAGAGATAGGATTTACCACACACAGGAAAATCACGTCGGATGACAAAATGGTAGACAATCACACAATACTGGGAATCATGGCCTAGCCAAGTTGACACACATTTTCGGGGGACACAATTCAATCCATGACAGCTAGGTAATAAAGTCAGTACAGTTTAGCCTGGTCCTCTTGGGATGCTCATTCTTGAAACCCAGCTGACATGCTGTGAGGAAGCCCAAGCCACAGGGAAAGGCCACGGCAGGAACCACCAGACTTGTTGAGGGAGGAAATGTTCCAGATGACCCCAGGCCCCATCTAACTGCAACTGCATGAGAGAACCCAAGCACAAGCCACCAAGCCGAGCCCAGTCAGAGAGAGAGAGAATAATTGTTCTAAGCCGCTCCGTTGTGGGGTTATTTGTGACACAGCAATAGGCAGCTGGACTAGTCAGCCTCAAAAGTGGCTGTTAAGTGGGCCTCCATGCTGCCCTGGCACGAGCCCCCCCACCCCCAGCCCGCAGGAGGGTGCAATCCTGATGCTGCTGCCACAGTTCACAAAGCGGCAAGAGGAAGTTCAGCCCGGAATGAGGGCCCCAACCCCTTGAGCTTGACCTGAAGCGCTCCTCTGTAGCTGGAGCTGTCTTCCCTAGACACTGTATAGCAGCGGGATCCAGTATGCTCTCCCCCAAATACAAGGCTAACCAGGGTGTTCACCTGCTTAAAGCCCTCTGATGTTTCCCCTTCCTCCAGGAGGGGTTCTCAGAGAGAAGGTGCTCCAGATCAGCTGCCTTTGTTTTTCCTTCTCAGGTAGATCCTAGGGAGGCTGTGCCCCATCTCCCACCCTCTTGAGGGACTCTGTCCCAGTAGGAGTGTGTCATATTCCACAGATGTGGGAAATGCGGACCTGCGGGATCAGGCCAACCTCCTCACCTGCGCACTCCAGGCTCTTCTGGAAGCTGACCCCTGTCTTCCTGGGCAGCTCCTCCCCTGGGATCCTGCCACTCCAGCCACTCGTGACTCTAAATTCTGAAGTCGCATGCTATTTCCTCACCCTCACCTCCCAAAGTCCCCCAATATCTAACCTTTACTGCTCTGGGGACCCACTCCCCACCAGCTCCTACAGCACACACAATGTGCCCATTCACCAAGACACTGTCTTTTGAGAAACAGCTCAGGGGCCTGGGGCTCTGCAGGAGGTTAAGCTTTGAGATGCAGGTGCCCTGTGACCTGTCACCTGGGTCAGCACTTTCCATCAAGGGATCTAGACCTCAGTGTCCACCTTGTTTGGAGCAGGGCTGGCCTGAGGCCAGCTCTACACAGATGCTTGGGGAGAGCTGATGGTCTCGTCTGAGGGTCAGGGGTTTAGAAGGGGCAAGACTGGTGCGCAGGAGGCAGGGACTTTGGGGAGAGGTCTGTGGATGAGCGTCCAGAGCAGACTCGCAGGGAGAGAGCACACCAAGGAGACCCCAGGGCACAAGTGCTTCTCTGTAGATGTCCGTCCCCCGCCTCCCTGGTCCGCTCACCATGCCCAGTCAAAGCGATGGGAGCCTCACACGTTCAACATGATCCCATCCCCACAGTGACCTGGTCAGCAGTACAGCACTGTCACGGGTTGAATTGTGTCCCCCCAAAATATATGTCAGCTTGGTTAGGCCATGATTCCCAGTATTGTGTGGTTGTCTTCCATTTTGTGATTTTCCTATAAGTCATAATCTCTGCCTGTGGTTAAAGGGGAATAGGGTGGGATGAAACACCCTTGCTCAGGTCACATCCCTGATCCAATGTAAAGAGAGTTTCCCTGGGTGTGGCCTGCACCACCTTTTATCTTACAAGAGATAAAAGGAAAGGCAAACAAGCAGAGAGTTGGGGACCTCATACCACGAGGAAAGTAGTACCAGGAGCAGAGCACGTCCTTTGGACCCGGGGTTCCTGCACAGAGAAGCTCCTAGTCAAGGAGAAGATTGATGAGAAGGACCTTCCTCCAGAGCCAATAGAGACAGAAAGCCTTCCCCTGGAGCTAGTGCCCTGAATTTGGACTTCTAGCCTACTTTACTGTGAGGAAATGAATTTCTCTTTGTTAAAGCCATCCATGTGTGGTATTTCTGTTAGAGCAGCACTAGATGACTAAGACAAATACCAAACCCAGTGCTGGCCAATTATGTGGACCCTTCCTGCCATAGGAAAGCAGGGGCTGTGTCCCCACTGGGGTAGACATCTGCTCTGGATTGGGGGATGCTTTCCTTGGGGCCGCCCTTCCAGCATCACCATCCATGAACTTCCTAGGGGTGGGGCTCAGCCTGGGGTCAGGAACCAGCTTGGCTGGGAGCCTGCTGGGGCCAGTCAGGGTCCAGAGGGGTCAGACTGGGCTTGTAGTTGGAGTCTGACCAGAGGCAGGCTCAGGTTAGAGTCCGGGCTCAGCCAGGCTTGGGGCTTGGCCCCGGGACATCAAAAAGAGACGGGTGTACAGGCCAGGAGGAGCTGTCAGACCTGCCTTGGCCTGAGGGAGGCTAAGGGACAGCTGGACCACAAGTCTGGATCATGCTGGCTTTTGGCCGAGAGCCGCTGACCTCTGTCCAGCTGTGCTCTCCTCTGCCCCTCACTGCAGCTGAGGCAGGCTCTGACCTGCATCTTGATAATGCTAGGTGCCCATCCGTCTTAGCTGCAGGCCCAGCCTTTGGGTCCTGAACCTCAGAAACTCCTTGGAGTCAGTGCTCCGTTTCCTGCCATCTGAGTGCCCCACTGGGCCCCCCACCACGTGTACCCCCCATGCTGCCTGGCACTGGGGGATGCCCACATGTCTGTTTAAGTGCTGCAAGAGCTCTGTCTGCAGCTGGGCTGACCCGCTGGTCCAAGATCCTCTTCTCCCAGGGAGCCTGGCACAGAACAGTGCTCATATGGCCTGGTGACCAGCAGTGGACACGCACACGTATACACACACACACACTTGGTTGTAAATAAGAGTTAGTTTTATTTTTCTCCCTTTGTCTTGGAGGCTGTCTGAATGAGGGAGGGGCCGGGGGGGGCGGCGCTGAAGGACAGAGAGCCCATGGGTGGGAACCTGGGAGCCACCTTTCTGGAGCATCGCCAAGGACACACTCCCTGAGCAAGCCACAAGGCAGGGCCCAAGGTCTTTGTGGAACTTCAAGTATGTCCCAGAGGAAGGGGTAGTCAAGGGTGTCAGCAAATGCTCAGACAAGGGTGTGAGCCGTACACGGCCTGGGCTCCCATCCCAGGGCCTGGGGAGAGACCAGCCCTCCTGAGCGCCAGCTCTGTTGTGCAGAGGCTTCCAACCTCTGACACTGCACTGGGGCTGGAGGGGGACTGTGCTCACCCCTACTTGCTGCAGCAAGTGGGGCTCCTTCCCTAGCATCCCCCCTTCCTCTGCCCCTCCAGCCCACGTTCTAGTTCCTACAGAGCTGGAAGCAATCCCAGGCCATCCTTGTATACATGGGGAAACTGAGGCCAGGGAAGGGCAGAGACCCTAGCTTGGCTCCAGAATGTCAGCTGGCCGTCCTCCTCCATTGAGTGCCGGCCGGGGAACCACGCAGGTGTCTTGGCCTGGTCAGCAAACCCTGAGGGGGAGGATGTGGGCAGCACTGCGGTCAGAGCTGGCACCGTCCACCAGTGCCTAGCTGCCCCTGGTTGCGCATGCCCGTCCCTTCCCTCTCTGGGATCCCGTCTGGCTGGCTGCCACTGGACCCCTCAGCCCCTCGCCTCAGCCCCTCCCCACAGCCTCCAGGCTGTACACCGTGCGGCGGAGGGGGCGGGAGGGGCCTCCCGGGAGAGGCTGGGTGGGGCAGTGCGCCAGCCCTCAGATCCACACTGTCGTCTTCCCGTCCCTGCTGCTGGCGCTGCCCGGCTCCGAGCCGGCCTTGGGCTTGGCGCCCTGCCGCTCGGGGGCCCCACCGGGGCGGCCTGACTCCCCGACAGTGCCTCCAGAGGTGGCGCTGCCGGTCCGGGAGGAGGCGGCGAGG